GTAACGCAGGAACACGTCTTGAGGACAACACCATCAAAGATGCCTCTGATCCCTTCCCACTCACACCTTGCTTTGCCTCCCAAACCATCGCTGACTTCACACAATGGGGGAAAGAACAAAAAAAAAAAAAGTCTTCAGCTGGTGCTGGTATGAAAATTTTGCCCAACCAAGTATCAAACAGCCTAAACCCTTGCCGAATTAAGATGTCCTGACTAGTGCTGCCAGAAGTCCTCACGAAGGCTGGGATGTCAGGAACATGCCCCAGCAGCAACAGCCATCACCCCTCATCACAGCTCTCTCTTCTAGCAGCACTCTTGGACAGCAAAGCTGAGCTTTGAGCTTTTCTAGGGACCAAACTTACTACAACTTTAAGTTTAAACAGTGCATTAGGGGAACTTTTCCAGGCATAAAAAGTCAGGAGAAAAAAAAAGAAAGAGTAAACCCAAACAGGTTGTTGCTCTTCTCTGACCTATAATTTAGCTACCTGAGCAATATAAAGAGGAGCTGAGCTTCCTTTATGGTCTCATGTCAGTTTATTACATTTCAGAAATAGTGCAGATGGATACCAACCTGTAGGAAAGTGCCCGCCAAAAAACACATTGAATATTTCTTCTGGTGTAATGTCTGCTTCAAATTCTGTGTAGTAGTTATAGTGCCTGGCCTGGCCAGTGCTGACATGCTCTTGGTCAGTTCCAAATTCATCGTATCGCAATCGTTTTTCAGGGTTGCTGAGAACTGCAAAAGCATTGCCTATTGCTGGAGAATGAATTGAAAGAAGTGTTACAACACAGCACCTCCAGGTGTGGGAATTCTGTAAGCAGCTTAACAAAATACCCAAGCAGGCATAGAAAATTTGTGCATGGCCAAAGACTCATTTACTTTTGAAAGAGCTACCTTTGTGTAAGTAGCATTACAACACCAACATTACCTGTGATGGAACCTATTTCCTGCTATCACTGACACCAGGAGAAGTATACGGAGAGAGTTAAGTATTTGGAAAACCAAGATGTGAGAGACCACCTATGTTAAGAGACTGAGGGAGAATGTAACTTTTTAATCAGGTCAAACTAAGTATTGACACAGCTGTGCACCTCCGTCCATGAAATACAGTTAACACAAAGTTAAGAACTGCAGAGAGTAATTAAAATGCAGACCCATATTCCAAGCTTTCTGTCAGCAGAGATGTTTGTGAAGCTGTACCTGCATATTTATTCACAGTGCACGTCAAACCACCTGGAAGTAGCTCGTTTGGTTCATCATCTTCCTTGGTCTTTGATAGAAAATGACTGTAAATAAGTTTATACTGAAATACAACCCTAACACAAAAAAAATAAAGAAAACTTCAAGAATTCCTTATTCTAATACACAGCAAATGAAAGCCTGGTTTCCTTAGCACTGACTTACAGTGCTAGTTTTATATGGTTGCAGCACAGTGAGAATGCGGAAGATGGTAAGAGTTTAGATTCTAACGTTGCTGATGCAGGCTTGGACTGCACCAATATTGAACAGCCCAGGCACGTAATAATGAACTTAGAATTATAGAATTGTTACGGTTGGAAGAGGCCTCCAAGATCACCTGGTCCAACCATCCCCCTACCACCACTGTCACCCACTGAACCCTGTCCCCAAGCACCACGTCCAACCTTTCCTTGAACACCCCTAGGGACGGTGACTCCACCACCTCCCTGGGCAACCTGTTCCAACACCTGACTGTTCTTTAGAGTACTCTTTGATTTTATACATTTGCACGTGTTTTTTTTGACATTCTAAGTAGGGCTCTGAGGAGTTACTGATTACACAACACGTTTTGTGTCATAACCAGTGCATCCCCAGAGCGTTACTGACCCTCCAGTGCTATCTAGGAACGAGCCCTGCGATGCCTTTCCCTCCGATCTGTATTCTGAAGGTCCTGTAAGAGCCCAGCCGTACAGGTGTGGGTGTCCGCAGGCCGTGCCGCCCGCCCCTCACGCACCTTTGAAGGCCTCGGTGGCGCCGGGAGCGCGGTTCTTGTCCGGGTGGAATTTCAGGGCCAGCTTGCGGTAGGCTTTCTTCAGGTCCTCCTCGCTGGCATCCCTCTCCACGCCCAGGATCTCGTAGTAATTGCAGCAGCTCTTTATCCTGAGGGGGGGGAGCACACACAGGGCGGCCGTCACGGCACAGCTCCCCTGCCTCAGCGCACGGAGCGCGACGGGGCCCCCACCGGGGGCCGAACCCACCCCCGTTCACCCCCGTTCACCCGCAGCAGCCCCCCCCCGACCCCGCTCACCGCCTCACGCCGTCCAGCTGCTCCGCCGTGTAGGTCATGGCGGGCCCGGGGCAGCCCCTGCCCCCCCCGCGGCCTCACCGCCCGCCGCCCCGGCCCGCCCGCGCCGCCATCTCGTGCGCACGGCGGCGGCGGCGCCGCGGGGGGTTCTGGGTACGGTAGGCCCGCCGCCGCCCCGCCGCGGCCCGCGGACTACATTACCCAGCAGGCACCGCGCGGGGATGTTCTAAAGCGGCTCAGTGACGTCATAGAGGCTTCTTTAGGGAGGCGGTGACGTCATATGGGGCTTCCTTAGGAGGCAGTGACCTCATAGGGCTGTGACTGCATAGAGAGGGGGAGGCGGTGACCTCATAGGGCTGTGACCTCATAGGGGGACTTCTTTAGGGTGGCAGGGGTCTCACAGGGACACAACCTCATAGGGGACCTCCTGGGGGAGGCAGTGATGTCATAGTGCGGTGACCTTATAGTACAGTGACCTCATCAGGGCATCCTGGGGAAGGCTGGGAGGCAGTGACCTCATAGGAGGCTTCCTGGGGAAGGCAGTGACTTCATAGAGCTGCGACCTCATAGGGGGCTTCCTGGAGAGGCAGTGACCTCGTAGGGCAATGACCTCATAGGGAGCTTCCTGGAGAAGGCTCATAGGGCAGTGACCTCGTAGGGCAGTGACCTCATAGGGGTCTCCCTGGGGAAGGCTGGGGAGGTGGAGGCCAGGGCGCCCCGGGTGCTCGGTAACGTGGCAGCTGCCTCCCCCCAGGCCCTGTGGCCCCACTTGAGTGGCACCTTCCGAGGGTTGGGGGCTAAAAACCTCCTCCTTGTCATCCCGCTGAGAGAGGGAGTGGTGGCAGGCGCTGGAGGTGCTTGTGAGGTCCTGCTTGTTCGTGGCACACAGCCGGATTTGTTTTTGGAAGGCGCATTGAGGGCTCCTTGGGGCTGCAGAGGCTCGCATGGGCTGAGCCTCACTGCCTGGAGCCCCACGTCAGGCCCTGGGGACCCACCTCGAGGTGTTGTGGTGAGGGTGTGAGGAGCCTGGAGGAACCCTACTTTGGGTCTTCTGACCAAGCCCTGTACCTTCAGCATGGGCTGCAAGGTTTGTCTGCCTGGCATTAGGTGCTGCTAATGCTGCTCGTCTTCTTTCTCATGGGCCAGTTAAAGCTGGGCTAATGAGCTGTGGGAGAGGCGTCATGGGATGCTGTGGCTGCTGGTGGTGTGAAGGTGGTGGTGTCTCCTACCTGTGCAATTTGCAGCAGCAGTGCTTAGCAGGGCATCTCCTTCCCTTTGAGTGGCAGCACCTGGCTGTAGGGGGTCACAGCACTTCCCCTGTGTATTTTAACTCTTTTTTTTTGCCAAGGCTCTACAGAGGCTGTGCGAAGAAGGACAATAAATCGAAAGGAAGGAAAACAAAACCAGGGATGAGCTCCTGTGGAATGGCTTTTCAGGCCTCAGTGTAGTGTGTCAGGAGGGAGATGAGTTAAAGCTTGGCACTTACGGAAGTGTTTCATATTGCAGGTGCTTAGAGGCTGCCTCTAAGCTGTGCTCCTGAGACATGAAATCTGCTCGTGAGTCCCCACACACCGGGTCACAGCTCTGAGATCTGGAGCTGCTTGGATCCACCGAGCTGGGTGTCGTGACCTGGGCCCTGGTGCTTAAGCAAACTCACTGCTCTGGTGGGGGTAGGGTGAGCAGTGTCATGCTTTACTTCGTGGAAATTTTACTGGAAAAAAAAAACTTTAATAAAAAAACGCTTATCAAACTACCTGGTGTGTATGTTAAAAATAGAAATTGTGTTGGATCTTAACAAGAGTTGTGAAACATCGTGTTTATTATGCTGAACACTTGGTTGCATGCTGTGAAGCACAGCTACCTTTAGCATTGCATGCTCCAGTAAGCATCTCGTAACCATCCCATAAAATTAAATCAAGCTAAATTACATGTTTCATTGGACTGTGCAGGGGAATATGTGCAGTTGATACCTATTTTGAGTGCTTGGCTAGATCTTTTTTTCCTTGACTTCACAATTTACCTTCAGGGTTGAGAGCTTCTGATGCTTGTGCTAGGAGAAATCAGTATCTCAGTGTTCTGCTGCCGGGTAAATGAGGTGCTCCAAGGTCTCTGACTCTGGAGCTGGTGGAGCTTGCAAGCGGGAGTCACAGTGGAGACAGGCAGAGGCAAAGGTAGTTGCAGAGTTTGTGCTTCAGTGCATTATGCTGCTGAGTAAGGCAGCTGAGAGCTCCAGAACTACCCAGCAGAGCACTGTTTCCCTTGTGGTTGCATGGAAGCTGGGTATTGATGTCTCCATCAGCCTCTGTAGCTCAGCTGATGAGGATGTGATTTTCTGTAGGTGACTGGCAGCTGGGGCTGAGCCAGTGTGGGCCGTGATACAGACAGTTCCTGGTGTGAGATGTGCTCGTGAGGGAACATCTCCTTACCCTAGTGACTGGGGGATGTGTTGGTGGTGTGTGGTGCTGCGGTAGGGTGGGAGCTGTGCGTCTGCCTTTGTGGTCTATCGGGAAGCTCTGGAAAGCAGTGGCACAGAAGACTGAAGCTCTCCCAGCAAACTCAGGCTGACAGCGTTCAGGAACTGGAGTAGCTCGGTGTTTTGCTTGTGACTGCTCCCGCTTATGCTCAAAGGCCTGTCTGTGCATGTCGTACAAGACTCCTTGTATGTTGGACTTGTGGGAAGACACCGATCTGTCTGCCTGAAGCTAGTTATTGACAGCAAAGTATCTGAGATGGCAGCTTACATTTCAGCAGCACCTTTAATTCACGTCTTTCCAGATGCTTTACAGACACGGGTTAACATAGCCTCACAACAACCCTGTGAGGTAGGTGGGTACGGTCATGCCCCCCCGTGGGGACAGGGAGGCACCAAGCGTAAGGGGCTTGGAGCAGTTGGGCTGTGCTTTGACCTAGCACTTGGGCATCTCGGTCCCATCAGGCCTTCAGCTTCAGGCCGTGCTTGTCTAAGGCATGGGTTTAGCTCAACGGGGGGCTGTGCTGATTAACAGCCTGGCGAGCCTGTGGCTAGCACAGACTGTAAAGGCCAGTAATCTAAGGCAGCAGTTTGTTAGCCAGGTAGGTGGCTCCTTGGTGCTTCTTGCTGCTGGAATAATCTGAGGGTTTGAAGACATATCAAAAATACAGTTAGATATCAACCATTGAACATGACAGGCTACAGCTGGAGAAAGCCCATTTCCCTCCTCCAGTCGGAGAAGCTATACGGGATACTACCATAAATGTATTGATCAAAAAGGGCATAATAATTTATATAAAAAGTCCACCCTTGCTCTTTCCCAAAGGGGGGAAAAAAGCCTAGAAAGTCAGTGCTGGTAGTCAGGTGTCAGCTTCTAGCTCCGTGTTGGCTTCATAGCACCTGCAAAAGGAACAAAACGTGGTACATCAGCAGCATGTTCGGGCTGGCAAAAGAAATTAAGCAACGTGGTCCCTCAAATAAAGCCGAAGTGCAAGTTTAGCTTTAAAACCTACAGTGCTGTGGATTATTCATGTGGAATGGGGTCTGAGAGTAGTGATGGGAATGCTGCCAACATCACCAACAGCTCTGCAAAGCAGGACGGTGGGAAGCATGGACTAGAGGGTGGGACCTTGACTTCAGATCAGCAAGCTTATTTAGCTCTTTAAATTAATGACAAATGATTCTAGCTCTGGCTGGCCCTAGGTGATGGCATCTATAAGTATGAAGTATACTTGATGCCTTCAGTTCAGGCAGCTTGGATGAACTTGAGATGGGGACACAAACTTTCACCAGGCTCGCTGGAACCCAGTTGGACCTTTAGGTGTTTGCTGACAGCTGCTTATTACCTTTCTGAAGGAATAAGAGCAACAGAAATGCCTCAAAAGCATGCATTTATCCAGCAAGAGAAATTTTCCCCAGCTAACCCTCAAAAAAAGCAAGGCTTAAAAGGGAAACCTTCTCTGATGGTGGGTAACTCATGCTGTTGTTCATGTTGATGTTCTTCATGGAGATCAGAGTGATGCTGTTATCCTTCTCACTTGTGCCTGCAGAACAGCTGTCAGCAAAAGAAGGCATCAATTAGTCCAGGAAATAAGAAGGGAATTTCTACACATAGAGGTAAACAGGCAAGGGGGCACGTGGGGACCAGGACTGATTTGCACTATCGTCTGATCTGTTGTCCTGATTCAGGTGCATCCTTCGTGCTCAATTCCCCCATCCCCTGCCTCTGTGTTAAGATCTCTGCAGAGATGAGGAGTGCATTCAAATGATTTTGGATACAGATTTGCTGTTTGCCAGCAGACAGCACAGCTGTCTGTACTGCCAAGGTAGGCAGAACCAAGGAGCAGTGTGGATCCAGTGCTCTGTGACTACATTACCTTCTAGCCCTGTAGGCATTACCAGAACTGGAAGAAAAGGAAACATTATCGTGCCCTTTGTGCTGTGCTCTTAAATCTGCAGCAGCTGTCATGCAAAGGGAGCCCTGGATCTTTCTGCACCAGCTGCTGCTGCTCGTGTATTGCCAGCCCCTCTCTTCTGAGTGAGAGGTACTCACGTTGGGAAGCTGGGTTCCCCTTTCTCCCTGCCCTGAGGGCTGGAATTGGCATTCAGTGCCAAAGGAGAATGGGTGACCTTGGTGTTTAGGGTGCCTCTGCTCTGATGTGCCCCATCTCAGTGACTGCAGATCACTTAAATACCCATTATGATAATGATCTAGGAACCACTGACAAAAGATGCAAATTCTCATCTAAACCTTTAGTGACTCTGCTCCCTATGTCCCTTGCTTCTTTCCACAGCAGGGGTGTTACCTTGCTGGGAAGGGATAGGAAAGTAGGAGCAATATATTTTTACACTTTCTCCCCATCTTAGGTCCCTTCCAGCCCTTGTTTTATGGTGCTTTCTGCGTGCAGCCTTTTTTCTTGGGCAGCAGTGACTGTCTGTGGGGTTCAGGCAGACCATCCTCCACTTGGTGCTTCTCTCCCAAAGGGCTCTGGGTTGTACCCCTCACTCCCACCCCCTTATCCCAATTCTGTTAGATAGCAGTAACAGGGGTCTTGGATTTTTTTTTTTATTTATTTTTATTTTTTTGAGGGGAATGATCTCATCTCGCTGAGACTACTTTGAAATGCAGAACCCAAGGTTCTCATCTGTATCTAGGCAAGGAAAGACAAATTGCTTTTTGGAAGGTGATGAGCCTTCACAGCTATCAGTGCAGCTGTGAAATGGGGCCCCTAAACATTGAATTTCTACCTTTGACTCCATCAGACGCAGGATGAGGCTTTACCAGCACTTGTGTTTTTTGCCTGTCTCAAAGTCCTGATTTTTTTCTTCAAACTGGAGTAGCCAAAGCCACTTATTCCCCAGGCTAAAATGAGTTGTGGAATAAAACATGCATTTTCGACAGGGTGTGAATAGTGCGAGTGACCTTACCTCTCCGATACCATGGAGCTCCCCGGCTTCTGTTTGTCTGGAGGGAGAGAAGTAGTTGGTGACATGCAGGTGAGAAAACATGACAGCTATGCAATAAGTCAGCTGCATGCAGAATTATGTTGTACAGGGTTATAAATGAAATCCAGATGAGATTAGAGACACCACCGGACACTTGAGAGTTGATTAGAAAAAGTGCTTCAAATAATGTAACACTATACAGGCAGGACTGAATGCTTTGCTGCCTGTTCAGTTGCTAGCATCCTCTGTCCTGCTGTAGATCAGTCTTGCCCTCTAGTGGGCAGTGCTTAATGGGAAATGGGATTCTGAGAGAAAATGAGTGTCAAACTCCATAATTTCCGCTGGAAGAGCTGCCTGCCTGTGGGAATGGGCACATCTAACTGCAGCATGTGCAGCAGCTGAGGCTGTTTCCTTGTGCAGATGGATCTGGACAGGGGTTTCAAAGAGGTGGTCACACTCCATTCCTAACTGTGAAATCTGTATTTCACTTGGGCTTCAAAACGTCCCACCAGGTAAGATTTTTTTAAAAGGTTGTCCTTCATTTAGGAATTGCCAAATAAACTTAGTAACCAATGACTTTTTATTAGGGGGGGAGAGGTGGTCCTGGGCAAATACCTTCTGAGTCCTTTGAGCGGTTGCACTTGAACCTCAGGCTGACCACGCTGACGAGGATGATCACCACCACGACCAGGATAACTATGAAGCTGATGACACCTGGGGATGGAGGAAAGAACTGTCTGCTATTGATACAACAACACTCCCGTCCTTGGCTTCTGGGGTAGTGCAGGGTCTTGACTCATCAAAATTTGGGTAGGAAATCAATATTTTCATTAAAATGAGCACGGGATGTAAGACATAGGGAAGTAAATAGTCACTAGAGTGAATGGTTTCACCCTCCTGTGCTTTAGCTTCAAAGGGCTTCTGGTGCGTATTTAGGTGATAAGGCAGTGACAGGAAGGCAGAGGTCAGTTGATTACACTGGGGGTTAATTGGGGTCAGCACATCCCTATTGCTGCTGAGAAATCTTATCCTAAAGGTGTGTAAAGTCAGATAAATACATAATATAATGGGGCGAGACAAGCTGATTGACTGAACAGTGTGAACTATCGCATGAACCAGTGGCCAGGCACAGTTTGATTCTGGCATCTGTAAATTGTGCTTTGTACAGGACTCTTGTCCTGTTAAGGCAGTTTCAGGACTCTGTGGCTTCCCTTGTAGTACATAAGCAAATGATAGTTACAAAGTTAACTTTTATTTCAGAAGTATTTTTAAAAGTAAAGATTTTTCCTATAGTGCAGTAGAAGCAAACTTTTTTCTTTTCTTTTTTTATATTTTTTTTTAATTATTTTTTTTTCCTTAACTTCATGGAGGAAGGGGACAGTATAGTCCAAAGCAGAGTGGATCTCTCAAATTTACCCTGTCCCTATCTTCAAAGCTATGGTCAGAGTAAGGTCTGGTGTATCCTGTCCCTTTCTTTCACAAGGTCTGAATGGCGTGGAGGAGTTTGCTGCTTCCTGCTGGGCAGGGTGCAAGTGTACAAGGAGGGCAATAAGGCAGGGCTGGGGCAGAATATGAACAGATTTGTGGGGTTAAAAGGCTAAGCTTTCTTTTACCAGGAAGGTAGTACGTTTATTGTAGACCCTGTCAGGGAAACCAGGGTGTAGCATGGGATAATTTGTGTGCAGGTCTTGCTCTAACACAGCTGGGATGTGTCTTGCTCCACACTGCAGCTCGGAGCAAGATCCCCAGCTCAGGCATAGCCACGAAGGGCTTCCACCTTCTGTCCTTTGTGTACTGGTCATGGCTAGGAGTATTTATTATTACCTGGCCTGCTGGTGCTAGATGTCAAGATTTTTCCCCTTGTGCTTTGAACATTACAGGATCACACGTGCTAAAGAGAGAAACTGAGGAGCTGTGCCCAGGGATGCACTGTTGGAGCAGGGTGTCCAGCACTGTGTGACCTGACAAAAAAGACCTCCTCCTTCTCCCCAGGTTGCACAGGACCTTACCAAAAGCTGCCACAGTCAGTGGAGACTTCTCGTATGTGAGAGTAGTGCCAGAGGTGTCCATTGTTGGGGTAACTGCTTCTGAGGTGTCTGCAAGGTAGGAGAAAAAAGTAAATTTATATAAAACTGCTTCCAGTGTTGGGAAGAGGATTTCTAGCAGCGTTGTGTGGCCTAACTTGCACTTGCACTTTACTGAAGATGATAACTAGCCTGCCCCCATCAACGTGAACAGCAAAGTAACATAGGTGGGAACCAGATTGCATTGGTGTGGCCCCCATTTATCAACGGTCTGAGGAAGCGATTCCCCACCTGCAGGGTTATCTGCTGGGATAGCAATGAGGAAGCTGAGCGTGGCAGGTAAAGGTGGATCTGGGAGGGTGTTTGAGGAAGGAGCTTGCTACGTGTCCTTACAGCTTTTTGCCATGCTGGCACCTTTCCTGCTGTGACTCGCAGCCACTGTTCCCAGGCTTGGCAGATTACCCCAAAGTGCTGCTTCTGCAGAGCTTTACAGGATTTTCAAGGCTACGTGGGACAGCTAGCCGCCCTTGGGTTCTCGTTAGCTGTTCACCATGCTGCCTGGAGGTAGCAGTGCGGTGGCATTGCTGTTGGCTGTGAAAAAGGCTGTGAAACGTACTGGTGCTTGTCTCTGAGACCAGGGAGAGAGCACCTTGAGTTGCTGCTGTTGTAGTACTCTCATTTCTCTTGGGCTCTTCACCTGCACAGAGGAAATGCAGAACGTGAGACTTTGCCTTCAATATCACATAATAAGCAAACGAATTCATGGACGTGCTGGAGTGTTGGATGTATTCACAATAAAGCTGATGATTTGCAGGAAAACTGGGGGGGTTATTTTCAGGCTAAAACCTCCCCACCGACATTTTGTGCTATTTTCCCTGAATCTTCCTTCAGGCAAGGAGCTCAAATACCCAGGTATAGCTGTTCATGCTTAGTTTCTGCAGTCCCAGATGCAGTTTTTGGTTAGATACAGTAGTTAAGCACTGGAATAGTGAACTAGAAAGGTTACAGATTTGCTTTTGCTTATGAACTTTGAGGCTTTAAAAAAAAAGTTTAGGAGAGGCAATTCTACAAAATTAGTGGGTACGTTGTCCTGCAGGCTGTGTAATCAGGAAGTAATTAAGCTACTCTGAGTTGGGCTAACTTATGTACCGTATGCACTCTACCTGTGGCAGTACAGAATATTTTCCAAGCATGGACTCCAGTTCTCAGTGGGGTAAACTGGCTTGTAAGAAGCTCTTTGGTATGTGACAGCTGCTTCCAATGCCTGTGTAAGCAGATTTAAGGCTGGCCTATGTGTTTTGCTTGAAAAAACAAACCAAAACAAGAAAGGTCCTTTGCTGCTTTCTGATGTTTTGAATAACCAGTTTGTCTGCACTGGCCTTATTGAACACTGACAAGTACTGTCAGGCCACTGAAAGTCACACTTTGCAGCTTAGATCATCTGTAGGCCAAGCAGGATCTCTCTCCTCTCCCATTCTCTCCCTCCCCAAAGCAGTGCTGGCCAAAAGCACGCGCTGCCTGGAGAGGTGCAGAACAGCTCCTGGCACTGAGCTGGAGCGCAGGGAATGCAACTGTGGGCAGCTGCAGAGGTGCCCTGAAACTGGGGTTCCTGTCTTGCAGAAAATGTCAGGCTTTGCAATGTTCTTCTGCCAAAAGTCAGAAGAAAACAGAAATAATATGAAGTAACAAATTTTAACCAGCGAGAAACCAGTAACGGCATGGAGCAGAACAGTCCTGAGAGGCAGGGGCTGGTTTACAGCTACTAGCTGTATTTTTTCCACCAGTCATCAAACCCTTTGTTTCATTCTAAAATTGTTCTTTTAGCCACAGGTGGTGGGCAGAAGCTTTGTTTGCTGAGCCTGGCATGGATACCCCATTCCTGGAAAACGCTGGGTCTTGCACAACAGGAGACCTCTCTTTTGGAAGCATCAGCAGCATTTATGTAGCTGAAGATGTATGGAGCTTTTCAGATAAAGCAGGGCTATAATTAATAGCAATCTGCTCTGATGTAAAGGGCTCTTGGCTTAGCTGGGCACAGACGTGCTGGTTGGACATCTGTGCAGGCAGAGCTGACAGTGGGTTTTTAACCTTGCATGAGTCAGGGAAGATCTGAGAGGCAAAACAATTTCTCAGTCTTGACCATTGCAAATGTGAGCCTTTAATGGAGAATCAGATCAATGTTCAGATTTCAGTGTTCCCACTTACCTGGCTTCTGTCTTTATTCTGAGAAAACTTACTGAATTCTCTAATTTTTGGTACAAGCTGGATTAAGCAAACTATCAGAATTAAAAAAAAAAAAAGGCATTTTTAAAAGGTGCTAAAGTGCCACCTTGTTTCTAAATGTAGATCAGTCTTTCAACCGTTCAAGTTTATCCCAGGCAGAGGTTGCTGAGTGGAATTGGTCTTGTTTTATCAGTGCTTGTAAGGATATCAGATGAATTTGAGTGTTACTGATGTCTTGATGCCAAGATAGGTTAGTGCTTCAATAACCTGCACCGTGTAAACCAAGTAAGCTAATTGCCATGAAATTGTCTGCACTTATTGTTAGTCTATAAAAAGACAAAGTACCTCGAGTTGATGAAGCTGCGGTGCTCCTGCTTCCATTAGACGTTTCATCTGGATAAAACAAGAAGAGAATTAAGTCTAGAAGCTGCTGTTAACCATGCTATGGAGAGCTGTTGGGTTTTCCTGAGGGGGAAAAACTGTTTCTAGGCATGAAGCTTCCTCTCCAAGCAAAACCAAGATGCCCAGCTAGCAAGCCATGCAGTGATTTGAGAGAGTGTACATGAGAGGTGAGCGTGGGAGCAGTGTGCCAAGGAGGCTGGGGTGCCTGTTCCTCCTCCACAAAGCTTTACCAGGTAAAGTGGGATTTGGCTTTTCCTACGCAGACTTTCTGCTCAGCCATCACATCCAGGCCATGGCTGCATCCAGCCGCATGCTTTTGGGGAGCTGTAATGAACTGCCCTTTTTTTAGCAAAGGCTGAAACGTTCAAAAGAAGCTGCTACTGCATAAGTAGCGTGGCGTGGGCTGGCTGGGACTTTGTGAAGCACCCAGGTTTGCGTGGATAAGCCAGGATGCATAAACTGGTCCTGCCTTGAGCAAAAGTTGGAGTTTTCCATTTTCGTGCACTTACTGCGTGTGGGCAATGTTGGTGTTGTAGAGATGGAAGAGGATTTGGTTGTAGTAGTCTTGTCTGTGCAGGTGAGATTCAAGTCAATCGGTGTTGACTTTACTGAAGGCTCTGTAGAGTAAGCAAAGAGTTACTTTAAAGAGCTGTGCTTAGCGATATGGTTTAGTGGGGACTGTTAGTGTTAGGTCAGAGGTTGGACTCGATGATCTTGAGGTCTCTTCCAACCTAGAAATTCTGTGATTCTGTGATTCTGTGGTAAGAAACAGCTCAGTTGAGGGCATGGCTTCTGCAACGAATCCTCAAGCTCCTAGGAGGTTGTGCGTAATCTGCTAGGGAAAGTATGGGTGTGAGCAGATAAGGTAACAGTCCTGCTCAAGGAGTCAGGGTTTCTGTACTTTGACATTAACATTAACTTTTGCTTCTTTTGGCAAGGCTGCTTGTGTGCAGAGGAGCTGAGCTGGCAGGGCTCAGGAGCTACATGGAGAAAGTCTGGCTTTTGACACCACTATATTTTTTTCCTTCACTTTGAAAATGCAGGGGTTTTATCTTGAAATAAAGACTTTATCTCTGGACACTAAGTGTCTGGAACCCACATGTTTATTTGCTTGATATATGAAATGCTAACTTTCATATTTCTTTTCACCGAGTCTCTAGGCACAAATCGTTCACTACTTGCAATGGTCTGGAAGCTCTGGCATCTTCCTCAGCCTGGTACTCAGAGAAGCCAGAACATGGACCCTGTGGGTCCAGAGCAAAATAGGGAAAAAAGCTTTCAATAGTCCTCTGCAAGAAAGAGTTGATCACCCACCTGGAATTTATAGGCAAGTTACTTATCTAGACTTTTCATGGCTTTCCAATAAAATGAGCAAAGAGTGAAAACAGCTTTAAGCTTTCTTATTTTATCTAAGTGCTTTAACAAAATATTTGGATTTCTGAGTATTTTTTTTTTCTCTGCAAAGCGTAACAGCTGAGTAAGATCTTTTTTGGGATCCTTTCCTTTGTTTTTATGGTCCCTCGGTAGGGGGAGCTATGCTTAGAAAGAGATCTCTTGCTATGGTTGAAAAATCTGACTCCAAAGAGGTAAGTGCACTCACAGATGTGGATCTGGAGTTGGAGAGATCTCATTGTGTGTATTTGGGTTTGCGTATTTGCAGATTGAAGCATATAATTATTGCTAACAGCTCCCTTTGCCCACTTCCAGGGCTTCTGACTGTACCCATGGTAGTGTCTTGAGACTGGTTTCAGTAGAAGGGGAGAACAGAAAAATGATATGAAGTAAGGGAACTCCTCAGAGATTTGCATTATTTCTAAATATTTTTGTCCTTGTAAGTGATTTGAATGCTATTTCTATGAAGGTAGATAAAGCAACCCCCCGTGCTAATAACTGTACTAAAGCTAAGGCAGACCCCAGTCCTTGTGCTGGTGCAGGCACTGCAGTTCAGGAAACGCTTCCCCATTTCCTCTGAGAGAAACGAGGAAAATGTTTACCTGTTGTGTACGAGGTGCTGATGCTGTGCTCAGCACTGGAATTTTCTAGTTAAAAAAAAAAATAAAAAATTGTTCAGGCTTATCAGGAGAGCAGTGTTGAACAATGAATGTAATGCATGGAAGTGCTAACAATGGCTTAGTTGCTGTTATTTCCCTTATGACACCCAAGAGTCAAGGCCAGACCTTGTGTACGAGGCCCTGTGCTTAAATGTGCTCCGAGCTTTCCTTGCATTAAGAGCTGCCCAGCAAAGTGGGTGATGCCAGGCAGGAGGACGAGGACACAACCCAGCCTGGGCTTGGGGGAGCTGCACCCTTTGTGCACACAAGACAAATAGCCCACTTCTTCCCTTCCTCTACCACTGTCCTCTTCTGACCTGCCACTGCACAGCCCCATTTTGTCCTTTACAGAATAATTTATTGCTGGATGGGCTGAAAGATGGGCCCCTTACAAGCCAGACTTGCCAGGATGCCCCAAGCTGGACTTGTGGCTCTCCAGGAGAGCTCGATAGTCCTGCAAGCCCGTGCTGTCACGGGTGTCTGTAACAGCCCTTGGAGGGAGGTGGAGGGGAAGGCACAAGCCCTTCTCCTTTGCAGTGTATTACCTGAGGTATGGGTCTTTACTTCAGGGTTGGTTGATTGAGATCGGTCTGTAACACAAACAGACACGGAGGTGAAGTCTTCTGCACGAGGCTCCTCGCTGCTGGGGTCCCTGCAGGGAGGTTTGAAGGATGGGCCAGAAAGGGACCCTTAGAGCCAATAAGGGCTGAAAGGGTGATGGGAGCAAGAGGTGTGAAGGAGATTATCACTGCTGTGGCTACAGGGATCTGCGGGCAAAGGGATTTTGGCTCTGAGGATGTGTAGAGCAGAGCATGTGATGGGGAACAGCTGGGAAACATCTGGGGAAGCAGGCAGCAAAGATGAGGTGGGATCAGATCCCTCTGCTTTCAGTGGGCCTCCTGGAAGGCAGCACTGCTCTTCCCGACAAGGCTGGGAGGTGGACACCAGAAACGGGGGACCAGGCTGGGTTATCACTTGGGGGCACAGTGCCCCCCATCAGCCCTGGAGATCTGGGGAAGGACGGTGATGGGCAGGCAGAGGTGGGCAGTGCAGGGTCCTGCAGACAGGTGCTGCAGCGCCTTTCCCATCTGTGGCCTCTCCGTTTGCATCTACACGGGGGCTCCTGCACCCACGTCCAGGCAGACTTTAAAACATTGTGACCAGGAGGTACCTGCTACAGGGTGGACTGTGGAGGCGTCTGTGGAGGTTGTAGTACCTGAAATGAAACAACAGAAGTATTAACAGTGCTAATGCGACTCACATTAGCGTTCTTGCTGGTTGCGTGATTTGGGTTTTCCTCATCTTCTGAAGGAATGACTTTGAAATACATAATTTCCTCCAAAGCATGAGCTGGGTAGTAACAAGCACTGTGTGAAACCATTTGCTTGTATGTGAGGGACATTAGGTTCTGTCTGAGCTAGAACTAGTGTTTATAGAGCCAGGATAAATGCCCTCCTGCCCCCACTGAAGCCAAACCCTTCAGGGAACTGCCTTTCTCTGCTATGGGGAAAATGCAAGGCCATATAAATCAGTGGTGTTTCTCCCTCCCCACGAGCTGCTTGCCTCCAGCTCAGTCCTGGCAGAGAAGGGCCATTTGACCTGTTTTCTAGAGCTGTTTAAGGAGTTAAGACATGTTTGAAAGCTTTGAGACCCTTGAGACCTTAATGAGTGGATGGATGAGGCTTGTAAATGTTTCTAGGAGCTAATGGGACTGTTTTCTCAACTGAAAATGTTTTGTTTTGCTTGTTTGCTTTGGATTTATGACAAGGCATCCCTAGACCAATCTTCCGTGTTGCCTGCCCTCAGAATACCTGATGTTTTTCTTTAAGTCTCAGCTCCTGGAATGCTATGATTAGGTAGAGTGCCAATTAAAAGTGCTGCCATTTTAAAAGGAAAAGGAAATAACCATTTCCCATATGTGAGGACAAGGACTGTAAGAGGTAAGTGCGCTTGATACTTAAATCCAAACTAACTGGTATAACTTCGAAAAGGTGACTTTTAGACTGTCATTTTGAAATGCAATCCTAACTGGCACTTCTAAATGGTTATTAAAAGTGATCCTGATGCTGCCTGTGGTTAAGATGCATGAAAGAAACCACATTACAGCCAGAGATCCCACTGGGGACCCACCTCACCAGAGTCCCACAACAGCCGATAGCTCCTCAAGGCTTTGGACAAAAAAGGACTGCAGTAGAGGTTGAATTCTTCCATCTTGCTGTCTTTGCAAGGTGTTGTGGCCCCTGGGGTAAGGGCAGGGGAGATTCAGGGAAGCAGCAGCAGCGGGAGCACCACGGTGCTTGTGTGTGCCCCTACTGCCGGGCTGGTGCCCCAGGCTCATCTCGCTTGTTCTTACACTCCCTTTGTGAGCAAGCCTGCAGGAGAGCTAATCTCCAGGTTCCCTTTCTCATCAAAGAGAGGATCAGGGACTTCTAAATCCCTATTGATCTGATCTATTTTAGATTTCTGTTGTACAGGGAGAAGGAGGCACAGCCTGCGACGCCCGGCTTCTCGCCAGGAGCTGTAGAGGTGGTGTAGGTGGTGAACGTCGTGGTAGGTACCTATGCTGTAGCTGTCTGAGAGAGGTCAGATGAGTGCCCTGACGGTGGTGTATATCTGGGATGAGATCTTTAGCATGCAGCGTGTGTGGGTTATCGCAGCTTGGCTCGGAGCCCACCCCTCAGGGGACTGTCTGGGTCTAGCGAGCTGCTGATTGATGTCATTTTTCTCACGCAAACTGTCTTGGAGCCTTAATTGTTTTCTTCCTCTAAGGCTTTATGACAACGATCCCAGCCAAACAGGAACCAAAACAGTGTGTAAACCACTGAATACATAATAAAACATAGCCACTTTCAGTGTAGGATTTGGCTATGAACTTGACTTTTCAGAACTTTTCCATGCTTTTTTTTTTTTTTTGTTTTAGTGTACTGGGCGGCAGGCCTGCAAAACCTGACTTTTCCAGTCCGTAAGAGAAAAGTGAGAGGAGATGTGATTAGATCTGTAGTTACACAGAAAACAGATTAGCCCCTTCCTTTCTACCTCCACTGGGAACAGGACCAAAGAACGAGGGCTCAAACTGCAGTAATAAAAAGGGGGGCAATAGGAAACTGTCTTCACATAAGGGTAGTGAATTGCAGCAAGCGATTGTGCAGGAGAATAGTGGGATTTCCTCTGGAGCTTTTGAAGAGCAGGTGAAATGAACATCAGCCTAGTAATGGGATTATGGGCAGATGCAACATCACTTACTGGACCAAGTAGTGTAACGGGGGAAGAAGAGATTTTTTGGGCACATGGCTGTTGTTAAAAGGGCCGAGATGTTTGTTTTGAGGCTGGGGAGTGCACCCCTCTGCAGCCCTGCCACCGTCTGCTCCCAGGGGGCTGAGCTGACTCCATGAGAGGGTGCAGTGACATGGGCTGTTGCCTTTGACCCCAGAAATTTGCCAGGCTTTCTCTCTGGTACTGGCTTTCCTCTTGAGCAGCTTTACAACACAGTTTCTGGATGTTGGTTTGCACATGCCTTGAAATACTCTGCCTACAGTCTGTACAAAAAATAATGTATTGGGATAATCTTGGGGGCCCATAACCTCTAGTAGCTGCCAAACTCAAACAGTTCATCTTTCACTTTGTTGAAGGACAAGGGAGAGGAAGGCTTCTGAGCCGGTAGTTTATTTCAGCATTTTTGGGGTGACGGAGGAGAAATCCGAGAGCTTGAACTGAGCCTCTAGGGACAGGAGGCACTGAGAGAAAGGGAGATGACTGCTGCCCTGTGCTGGCAGAGCTGATGGCTCACAGAAAGCTCAGAGCTCAGGCTCCCCAGTGCTAGGATAGGAGGAGGAGGCTCTCGGTACTCTTCCACCACAGATCAGCCCTTTGCCGAAGGTCAGACTAGAGCACTGGCTCATAAGAAGTTCTCAGAAAACACTATGCCAAAGTAAACCTGGGGTTACTGTAAAACACATCAGCAAGCAGGTTTTTTTCAGGGCACAGTCCCTGGAATTCACCTGGCCAAGCAGATGCGCACCCTGGCTGCCTGCATCTGAACTTTGCTACAGAGAAGTGACCGGTCTTGTGTGAAGAGGCCAAAGGATGGAGAAGCCTTCTGGCACTTTGCTCGGTAATAAAGGGCCCTTCTATAAACACAACAGCGCATTATTTCAAAGCGGAGCATGTCTGGCTCTGACTTCTGGCCCCTGCTTTTTGTTACGCCTTCTCTGCCAACTCAAATAATCAAACGTCCCATGGTATTTGCTGTTTTCTTTTGGTGCTGAGCATCCCAGATGAATTCCGGGGGACAGATATGTGGAGCAGGAAGAGACCTGGGTTGTGCCGTGGGGCCGGGCAGCAGGACATGGGTCAGAACCAAATCGCTGCGTGTCACAGCTCCCCGGGGGCTGCTGTGCGAGCCCTGCTGTGGTGGCACCTGGCCACGGCACCATTTCCTCCCCGTGCCCTGCCAGCAGAGCCCTGGCTGCAGCAGCTCCATAAACAGCTCGCGATAACGGGCAGGACACGGCCAGCACAGCTGCAATTGCAATCCACATCAAAGCCATTCGGATGGCTTGCCGTCGAGTGGAAGCAGAGCCAAGCTATTTGGGTGTTTGGGTGCAGGTGATTTATGGCAGGGCTGTGGGTCTCTAGGTGGGGACGGGGAGCTTGCTGAGGGATTTATCATGGGAAGTGACGTTTTCTGCTCCTGCTGGGATGGGAAGCTCCTGATTACTGACCAGAGCAATAGGGCTCCAGAGAGGCACAGTGGGGCCGCAGATGGATTTCTTCTCTGTGACTCAGAGCTAGCTGTTCCGTGGTTAATTTTTCCAGCAGATGAGAAGGGAATTTTGGATTTATTTGCAGCAGTCCTTCTGTGATGTTAGGTGTGAGTGTCAGACAGAGAACAGAGGGGCCTTCCCATGTAGCCTTCTTTCATGGCAGCTGAGAAGTTCCCAGAGCCAGATGCTCACCCCTCAGAAGAGCATAGAAAGATGTTAAAGAAAAAGAAAAAAGTGGTTTTTTTAGGTATTCCCACTTTAGTATTTTAAGCTAGCCTTTTTCAGGGCCTTGGTATAAAACGCTGCTGTACCAGAGACCCAAGTCAGCTGTTGAAAAACATTTCAGCAGTCTTCACACCAGGCTCAGGAGGGCTTGCGATGCCCAGTCTGATACTGGATGAGTTCGCAGGGGGACTCTCTGGCACCAATATTAAGGCACTGGGACTGGTCCCATACACACAGAACTGGTGGGGGAGAGGCAGCTGCTAACCCTGACATGTAGTGGACTCTTCTCCTGCAGCAGTTTTTGGGGGAGTTGTTACAGTTGTGCATCAGGGAGCTCTAGACCCTGTGTGGCGCCGTACAGGCTTCGCTGTACCAACCTTGTGTCACCTTCTGCTTGCAGGTTGTATAAACAAAGGCTGTCAGAAGGGACCTGACGATCTAAAATTAGACTTTTCGGTTCATGTATTGCTGCTTCAGTACACTCACCCATGACAAAAATACGCTGACCACTTCACGCGAGTGCAGCTGTTTCCTGGGTGAAAGGCAGCAGCTGTTGAAGCAGCAGAGAGCAACACCACTTAACTGGTGTCACTTCTATGTGAAAGAAAATGCTGCGTTAGGGAACCTGGAAGGTGCAGAGCTCCCATTTTATTAGTCACCTAAGGAAAGGTGCCTCTGCCTAGCAGGTCTCGGGACAGGATGAGGCAGAAAATGTGGGAAGAGAGGAGAAGTGTTGTTATGCAGACCCGATAACTGACAGTCTAAATTAGGTCCCAGCCCCACAGTGGTATTTAAACACCTAATTCTCAAATGACATTCGAGGGGTTTGGCAGCTCACTGCTACGTGGTTCTGAATGGTAATGGCTTGGCCAAAGCGTTACGGAAAGTTCAGAGAGGCAGGAATTCAGCCCGGATCTTGTCAGTGATTCAGAACAATCCCGGCCTTCCTCTGCTCCTCAGGGCTGCACCCAGGTCTGGGCATCCTCTCCGAGCATCGTGCTCCATTAAGCTGTTCTGGAAGCAGATCAGTCTTCTGGCGGAAGCCAATTAAAACCCACTTGAATGTAGAAAACAAGCCAGAAGACAAACAATGTGGGGAAGCCACATGCACGGAACGGGACCTGTAACATCGCAGTATGCGATGAAGTGCTTTTGTTTTTGCCCACTAAAAAATGGTTGCTCCTAGAAGAAAGTAACAGGGCTTTTTTTTTCTTTTATTTTTTTTCCTTTTTTTTTTCCTCTTTTTTTTTCTTCCTGGCTGCATCCCTGAAGCCTGGTCCATGCACTTCTCTGTAATGTTTGAGGAATAAACGTGTACTCCAAGCAGGCTGCCCTGCTGTGACCCTCCCAGCTACTTACTGGTTACAGTTCTCTCCCCGACATGTTTGTTTTTGAGCTCTGCTTTGTTTTCTAGATGCTGGGAAACTGAGGTGCAGAGAAGGCATCGTGAGCTGCAAGCTCGTTGCTCAGCGCTGCTTTCACGCCTTAATTAGGCTCTCAGCCCAGGTTCTGCTTTGTACAGGTCACCTTGCAGGTGGTCCTCATTATCTTGTAGGATTTTGTTCCTAACCAAATGTGTGCTCCAGCTGGTGCAGGGATCAGCTGCTGAACTTGCTCGTGTGCTGTACCTCTGGACGGATGTCAACAGAGCCCTGTGACAGCACACGGACTGCCGTCCCCTGCAGCAGGGGATCAGTGCTGGGTGCTTGTCAGGCACATCCCCCTTCCTCCAGGTTCCTGGATGCTCTCTGTCACAGTTTCCACGTTTATTCACAAGATTTTTTTTTATTATTATGATTTCCAAGAATTCCAAGATATTCCCCAGGGTTTCTTGGGCAGAGTTGAGGCATTGCTGGTAACAGCCAGGTTGTGTGGCGGTTCTGAAACACGCAGGAATGCCAGCTGCTGCTCAGTTCAGCTCCCACTTAGTGACCTGGGAATTAAGGTTTGTACAGGGCTGGTGGCATGGGAGCTCTCCTAATTCCCATTCTTTTCACTTTCTTTTCTCAAGTCTCCTGGCTTGAAGGACAGGTGAAGCAGTCCTTGCCTGGATGCATTCATTTAGCCCCAGCAGTGATGCTGGGCAGGTACCTTTCTGCTGTTCCCTGAAATGCCACATCTTGCAGAAGAGGCAGTCAAAGCTGCTTGACCTGACAGGCTCCATCTGGCTCCAAATTTTAGGTGAGTGACCCTGATGATATCACCTATTTTTATTCCTATTTTTTTTAATAGATGGGAGTTTTTGTATTAGCCCTGTCTCATATCTGGTGAAAACAAGGCATGGGGTGCTAAAACACAAAACCCAGTGGTTCTGTGTCCCACCCAGTGCATTGTCAGCTGTGACGTGCTGCTCCTTGGCTAACAATTGCACTGACTTCAGTTTGACTCCAAGGTCCTTAGCTGCTCCAGAGTCACTTCTAGCTAACACGAGAGGAGCTTATTGAGTCGTATGCCTGGAGCTGCTTGCTCAGAGCTGTGCCACCTTTGGAAGTGTGATCAGAGCCTTGATCATGGGGAGCTGGGTCCCAGACCGGTGCTTTCTCACCAGCAAGCGGTAAGAAAATTCTTACTAAGCTGTGAAATTTAACTGCTAGTAAGGCAGTACTGTTTTACCACATTCCTGCTGTCTCACCAGGTTTGTAGGAAGTTTTACCAACTACTGGCATTAAGGGCAGAGTCTCCTCGAAACCTCTGTGTTTCCAAAGCCCACCACAACCAGAGATACTAGATGGGGCTCTGCTCCTTCCTGCTGTACTGAAATAATTCTTCTGAAGGGTAGAAACAGCCCCATAAACCGACAAATGCCTGCAGGGGAAGCTACTTGTCACTGCTGTGGTTGGATTATGTTGAGTGGGCTCATTGGGAAGTGAAGTAATGAGACCCCCTAGCTGAGGCTCAGCAGTGATGCCTTTTGCTGGTGCCGTGCGAGGCACGGATCTCCTGTTTCTAGCCTGGGCTGGAGCCCGTACGTTGGCTTTCCCAGCAGGAGGGTTTTTGCTCTGCTTACCAGCACTGTCTCCTCCAAGGACACCTGTTGTTGACTCACCTATTGTAAGGAACATAATTGCTGGAAACAGCCTCCAGTTAAGTCAGCTCTGCAGAGTCATCAGCAGAGTTTCATCTATCTAGAAGGGAGCAGTTTGTTTTGTGAACAAACATTTCTCTGAACCAACCTCCTGCTTTCTCTTCCTTGTACGTCAGGCCAGGGTTGCTCTGGCCTCTCCTTTTTGCCCAAGAAGGGTCAGGGAGGGATCTTGGGGATACCCTTGGGCATCACCTGGCATGGACAGAGACTAGCAAAGAAAAGAGCTGTCTGCAGAGGTGGAGAAGCCTTCTCCTGCCGCTTGGTGGTATAAGAAACAGGATCTGAACTGGGTGTCTTTAGCGCTCCCTGCGATGCCAGAGAAGACATCTTGGCAGGTGTATTTATAAAAGCATTGTAATTTGTTGTGACTGGGGCCAGCATAAATCTCTTATATGATCTTACAACCACCTGAGTGTCTAAAGAATACAAATTCTGTCCCTGTTGTCTAAGGAGCAAGGCAGAACAAGCAGCAGGAGTCAGCTCTAGGATGCACTGGATGATGCCCTCATCTTGGGACGCAAGTGTTGTCTGGAAGATCTGCTGTTACTGGAAGTCTGCCCTCTGTCTGCACCCCATTTCTTTGATTACCTCTGTGGCAGTATCCACTCACTGCTGCCATGCAGATAAGGAAAGCAGCAATCAATGGGAAAATGCTGCTGGGTTCTCACCAGCTTCCAGAAGGAATTTTACAGTGGAAATCTTTTGTCTGGGAAATGCCTGCCCATTGTAATGGAAACTGTTCATAGGAAGAGGTTTGTTTGGACAAATTTTTCGTTAAGCGTTTCTATGGGATGGAAAGAAGATTGGAAGTGGTCCAAAACTTCCCACTTGAGCGATTTCAAACTAACAGTAGTGGAACCTTCCTTCAGAAGTAACAGTAAGATTAGGAATTCAAATTAATATAATTCATTAATAAACTAATGAACTTGCAAAAAACACCAAAAACCTGTGTGGAGAGTAGCTTCCAGCCAGTTATTCTGCACAATGCTAGGGCTTCGCAAGGTTACTTCCACCTGCTCAAGAGCAAGGAGACCACCGAGCTCTTCTGCCTTAAGATCTCCTAGTTCCCTTCCTCAGCTGCCTGAATGTCAGGGAGCCAGCAGCATCACTGACCTGCTCTCTGTCCCTTTCACTTAGGCTTCTGCAAAAGGCAACGCAGCGATAGCCCCCAAGTAGCAGGCCACCTTAGTGACTTTAATATAACATCGGCTTTAATCTTCAGTTAATTTCTAGTTCAGAGCTGTCATGCAAATATAATGATACAAAACACACGATAATGTTGAAGGCTGGTTTTGACTGAAGCCAGAGGTCCGACTGCAGCACAGCAAGCACCAGCAATGCCATTCTCATCATTTGCACCTACTGGCCCCGTTGGCATCACACACCTAGTGGGAACAGCCCCTGCCCCGTGATTTGAAGCTGACTGCAGAGGACAGAGTTACAGTGACGCACTCAGGACTGAAGGATAGAGCTGGCATCCCTTCCACCTGATCCTGCAACAGCTGGGGTCAACCTGGGGAGCAAATATCTTGGGTAGCGTGATCAAACCAAGGGCTGGTCCTGGCAGAGTGCGGCTGACTCAGAGTGCTGACAACCTTGTTAACATCCCTGTCTTGTGCAAGCCATGCCAAATATTTGTAAGGGGGAAGAAATGCCCTCTGGCCAGGTATTAAGAAGCACAGCAGCATGGCCAAGGGGCTTCAAAGTTCCTCCAGGCACAATTTACCCCTCTGCTGAAGTCAGCAGCCCTCTAATAAAGAGACATTTTCCAGTCTACGTGCTCTTCCTTCTGAGAGCCAGCACCTGACTTGTCTTCATGTTCCGTGTCTTTTAAAAACCCTCTGAATACCCATGTGGTGGCTGTAACCTATAGGCAACTTCAGTGGTTTAATAATAAAATCTTTGGATTCAAGAAACAGGGTATTATTTTTAGGTGGCTTTCTGTTAGAAGCAGCAGTGACGTGCAGTCTGTGCCTCTGAATGCCTCTGAGCTCACAGCTCCTACAGCTGTCAGCAGCACAAGAGGTGGCTGGCTGCAGGAGAAAGCAACCTGTCACACTTCACCACGGGAAACCAGTTCCTCGGAGGTACGCTCACTGCATCCCCCACCACGACCCACGTGTGAAGGAAAATTAGGAGCAGAATTACTGCAATAAGGACAATAAATGTACTGCGTGACTCTTGCACCCGACTTACGCTCTCTTTGTGTTTACATCAGCAAGAAGAAAATCTAAAGTCAAGAAAAAAAATTACTTCTGAGGAAAATGTCCTGTACATGTAAAAGTTCCACCTTTACCCCTATTTGACAGAAGCCACTTGCGACACAGTGCCTCAGTAGTGCCTCAACAGAAACAAGCCTTTTGTTAAGCAGAAAACAATTTCTGCTATTCCAGCACAGTCAAACAAACCCCATAACACCTGACACGGCCAAATTCCCCCCAACAACCTGACTCCTGCCACCCCTGAATTTAAAGCTCGGGTTTTTCTGGCGGCAGCTACTCCACGCTTAAATCTCTGCCCGGCTCCCTTTGGGGGGCTGGGCTCCCCAAACCCACCCCTGGCACCGTGTCACCGTCCTCGTAGCGCCTTACCTCTGATGAGCACGCAGCCAAACAGCCACAGGAGCGGGTGCACGGACGGAGCCAGCATCTTCCCCTCGGCTCGTGGCTGTGCAGCTCGGCTGGGGCTGTGTCCATACCGAGAGGGAAAAGAGGGTGAGGAACGATTTGCCTGCTTGGGCTGATTCTAGCAGAGCTTCCTGTTAAAGAATAGAAGGAAACGGGCTGAATCCACAGGGGAACTGTGTTTTTAAGCCCATTATGGTCGGAGAGGATATGAGACATCGCTTACCGACGGCAAAGGAAACCTCGCCATCGATGTGCTGGGGAGTTCAGTTCTCATAGCAGGGAGAGCAGTGGCACAGCGGGCCTGCCTGGCCTTGGGCCTCAGTAGGGTCTTTGTAGTACTTGGGTTTTTTTTTTTTGGAGATTACGTCTGGGGCAAGGGTGTGCCCCAGGTGATCTGCTCCACCTCAGTCGTGAGGGCTGCGCTGGTCTGGAGGAGCTGGTCATCCCCTGAGAGGGGATTTCTTAAAATCCCCGAGAGGGGTTTGGAAATGCCTGATCCTAGTGGAGCTGGGCTATCTCACAGCCCGTGCTCCGCGTCCTCTGAGCCCTCGTCCTGCTCCTCCCCGTGCAGCTCCAGCAAGTGTGGGCACCAGGACTGCTGGTTTTGGGATGCTGCTTTTTGGGTAGCAGCAGCATCCTTCCCCACAGGGCGTCCTGCACAAGACAGGCTTAGACCGACCCTAATCCTGTTCTTTGATCAAACTGGAAAATTGGCTTGGTCCTGGCCCCCACCCAGCCCTGCTCACCAGGGGGCTCGGGACGTTGAGCCTCTTGGCCCTGACTTTGTGCTGGGTTGGGCACCTGCCTGCACATTCTGTCTGTCCCCTGCTGGCATGGCTTGAGCTTCACTGGCCATACATTGCCCTGTGCTGGGTGTTAGTGTTTGTTTTTTTTTTTTTTTTTTTGGGGGGGGGGGGGAAACGGGTCTTAGCCTCTCCATATGGGAAGGGCTTCAGCACCCGCCTGTCTCAGAGGGTCCCTGCAGGACTCTGGGGGCCAAATCCAGAGGGTGGTGGTGTTACAGTGCCAGGAATTTCCTCAGCATTGCCCCCTGTGCCCTCTGCATCACACCCAGAGCGGGTGTGCGGTCAGCAGAGTCCCCGCTGGGGCTGACTGGTCAGACTGGGAGCTGTGTGGGTGCCTGTCCCTGGTGGCTGCTCCTCCCTGCCTCAGACTCCTCAAAGGCTGCGCTGCCCCTCTTTGTGCTAGGCAAGACGCAGAGCCCTTTGTTTCCTTACAAAAAGCCTTGTTATAGGGGAAATGGGCTTGTTTCCCTTTGGCAGCCCAGGGGAGGCTGGATTGGAGGGGGGGCAGGTGTTTGGGGGAGCGCAGGGTTTGCACCTCCTGCCCTGGGCTGCTCCGTGCTCAGCCCTGTGGGTCCAGAGCTCTGCTCTCTGCACTGGGACAACGCAGGTTTCCAACACGTCCCTTGTGTCTGTCCCCCATCCCGAACAGCCCTCTGCCTCCAGAAGACTGCCCTGAGCCATGTCAGGCATGCTGAGCCCAGCTGGGGACACCATAACGCAAACTAAAAGCAGCCAACACAGGATCATAGCATCACAGCATCACAGAACTGCTCGGGTTGGGAGGCACCTCAAACATCACCCGGTTCCAACCCCGTGCCATGGCAGGGATGCCACCCACTGGATCAGGTTGCCCTCGTCCAACCTGATTTTCATCATCTTGATCATCTCACAGCAGATTTTGCTTTCACAAAACCTCTGTTAGTGGCCTCCCTCCCCCCCTCACAACCATTTTTTTTTTCTCTTGCACAGATGTGATGCTCAGAGATTATGCTGTAGATTAAGGTTTTACTGAATCCTGAAATGAGTACGATTTCCCAGAAGCAGCAGCTCTAACGTGCAGCCACATCTCTGCTGGAAGCTTGCTCGGCTGGGTGGGGGTCGAAGTGTTCCCCACCCTGTGTACAGGAAGGATGGAGCACGAATATTCACCCAGGCTGGTTTGCTGAGAGGCAGCCTCCAGGTAGGAGCAGTTTTGTTCTGGGATAGGAATTGGGGCAGGTGGTGTTTCGTAATGGCTTTGCAGGGATAAATCTCAAAAAATCCATCGTTTCCGCACTGTGACGTGCTGGGGGTGAAGCCCGGTGGCGTGGTCAGACTGCAGGGTGTCCCCAGGCCTGGGGGACAGCACCCACCAGGGTGGATGGGTGAACACTGCCTGGCTCGGGGACATCCCTGGAGCCTTGCTGCCACGGTCCTTGAGATCTCTGCGCCCCACAGTGGGATTAGCAGCACCAGCACGGCTGTGAAGTGCTCAGATATCACAGCGGGCACGTGGCTGGTGCTGGCAGAGCACAGCGGGCTCCTTGGTGGCCTCATGGCAGGGGGAAGTGCGGTCACCCACACCACCACGGCGGCGCTGCTGGTGTGCTGGGTGTCTCTGCAGCACGCTGAGAGCCTCAGACCAGCAGCAGCGTGGGCTCACCCTGCTGCTGGCCATGGCGGGGCTGGCACCAGTCCTGCCTTGGGGCTGTGTCACCTCGCAGGGCGAGGAGCCCGCCAGCTCACGGGGCCGTGCGGACACGCTTGGCCGGGCTCTGCAAACAGCTCGAGCACACAAGGGTGACTTTTACACTGGTTCCTGAGTGCAGTGATATTTAAGGACGGGTCGGCTGGAAGGAGTGAGGTTTCCTGCGGTTGGAAAGCTGGGGGCTGCGCACGTGCCTCCGGAGGGGCGGTGGGTGCTCTCGCCCTGAACAAAAGGCGCTTGTCTGGCAGCCGAGGAGCGAGAGGAGCGAGAGGAGCGAGAGGAGCACCTCCTGCCCCTGTGTCCCCGCGTGGGGCAGAGAGGGAGAGGCAGCGGCGCTGATGTGGCACTGCGCTAGGTAAGGCAGCACCTCGTGTGTGTGTGTGTGTGTGGGATGAGCAGGCGCTTCCTCCTCCGCGCGGGGAGTCCCAGGCGTGACGTGGCAGCCTCCGAGGTGAGGCCGGCCCTGCCAACACCCTGCCAGCCCCCGCAGCACCTTCCTGGAGGCTCCTCTGCTGGTCCTGCCCTCCCTGACAGAGGTGATGATTCCCCCGGAGCAGGGACACCCAGGTACCCCTGCCGGGCTTTCCTCCTTTCCCTCCTGCTGCTGCCTGCTCCCAGCTCTCTGCTGTGCTGTCTCCTGTGGGGTCTCACGTCTGGCTTGACCTGCAGAGGTTTTGGCAGGGTTGGGCCTCCCAGGGAGCTCCCTGGGGGGGTTGGGCTTGGATTAGCACTGTGGGGCTGGGGGAAAGAGGGGAGGGGTGGGGGTCTCCCTTCCAGGGGCTCCTGGTCCCCATCACCAGTGGCAGTGGGCCCAGGACAAGGGGACGCAGGATGGGACAAGGGGATGCAGGGCACTGCCCCTGGCTGCTCGCTGTTGTCTGCCTGGTTGAACATGTCCAGGGCACCATCGCTGCAGCCCCAGATGTGACCATCAAAATTTACCCTGTCTGTTGAGCCCGAGGGAGGGAGAGTGCATGGGACAGTCCCGTTCCCTGGCAGCCGGCTGGGGCTGTGCTTCTGCTTGCAGGAAGCACTCGCTCAGAGCTGTCCCATCACCCTGAGCACTCGGGGAGCAGCAGAGGATAGGTTTTGGTTGTGTTCAGCCTTGTTAAACCCCCTGGGTGCTGCTGCTCGCTGCCCCGGGGTGTCTGGGCAGGCTCCTGCCCTCCTGTGGGACACTGGGGCAGGATGAGCATTCATCGTGGCCGGTCCCAGCCCAGAGCTGCACGTTGCTCAGGAGGGTTTGCTGAATGCCCAGAGTCCTTATCTCACACTGAATCTTTTCCCTAGATATAGAGGAAAGTGCATCCAGAGCCTTCTTCCAAGTCTCCAAGGCTGCAGAGCTGCAGATACAGTGACAGCGGGAGCCGCCGAAACGAGGGCAGGAGACAAGGACATCAGACAGCCCCCGTTCAGTGACGACCCCTCTCCATCCCACGTTCCTGTCCCAGCTCAGCTTGCTCAGCCATGAACGCCTCCGCGCTCGGCAGCCAGCTGAGACACCCCGAGCCCCAGGACGTGGCCGCCTTCACTCCCGTCTCCGTTGTTAGGAGCATGACGAAGAAATCTGACGCCCTGCCCATGATCTCCATGATCGTGGCCATCTTTGTCCTCTTGGCCATCTTCATCATCGTCATGGTGCACTACGGCCCTCAGCTCCGCACCATCCAGATCACCCTTTACCACGAGCCCATGCCGCAGGACTTGGACGACGGGGTGCACCTCACAGACTGGAAGAAGCTGGGCTCCCAGAAGAAGCCTCCTGCCCAGCCTGGCCCGTGGGAGCTGGGCGGTGTGGCCACGGCCAGCCTGAGCTGCCAGTGCTCCTGCAGGCACCACCTCCCCTGCAGGAGCGTCGAGCCCAACGTCATCGAGATCACCTACCTGTGAAAATAGGGACTGGGATGATGGCTTTGCCCGGGACTTGCCGCTTTCTGCACGCTGAGGGCTGCAGGAATCACCCCAGGATGGTGCCTGTCTCCAGGGGGCTGAATGTCACTGCTGTGACCCATCGGCAATGACACCGTTATCTGGCTGCACCAAGCAAAAGCTGAGTCCCCAGCCCAGGCTCTGGGACTGGGTCAGCCTGCATGGGACAGCTTTAGCATTTTTCTTTTTCCACACTGCCTGGAGTGCCCAGGAGAGCCATCTCGGTCCCTGCTCTGGGGGCACTGAGTTTACCCTTGTCAGGAGCTGGCAGTTGCCTGCTGTGGAGTTGCTTTCTGGATTAAGGATGTTTCCCCATACACAGTGCCCCCCTTATTCTGATGGTGTGGCCCCACAGGGTGACAGCAGACTGCAGTGTCCTGCCTGGCTCTGGGAGCCTTCCTGCTGCTGGAGGTGTGAGGCATCTCTTTGGACAAGAAACTGGTCGCAGCATCTCCTCCCTCGGTGGAAAGTGGGCATCAAAGCCTGGCTTCAGTTTGTGGGCTCACAGGCAGTCCTGGGGAGGGAACAAACCTCTGGGATCACCCTCAAGGATTTGTTCTGCTGCTTAGTCCCAGAAATCAAACACAGCTCCACCTCTCCCCTTGCCACGCCAGCACAGCAAAGCCAAACCTGTGCCCACCCCAAGCTGCATCCTCGGCACAGATCCCTCTGTGTGCTGCTGGGCAAGGACCGGGGGCTTTCAGCCCTTCCCCCAGGTGCTGACCTGGCAGGTGCTCCGGCTTCCTCCAGCTCACTTAATTCCAGCTTGTTCTTGCTTGCTTTAAAGTAGCAGTTGGACTTGCTGGAAAATTGTGATGTTTATAATAAATATAATTTATATTATATGTGGTTGTTTTCTGTTCTGATTTTATTATATCTGTTTTCCAGAGGGTATAATGCATTTCCAGCTTTCCCACACCTACGTGGATAAGGCGTGGATGTTGGTTGAGCTGGAAAACCACTGAGTCTCCCCTCCCCTCATATGTCAACACAGTGCTTATTTTTCAATTTATACATCTCTAATTAACAACACCTGAAGAGCTAACGACCTTCTAGGGACATCTCTTTAAATGATTTCTGCTGGTGGTGGTAGTCCTGGTGCTCACCTGCATCAGGGGTGAGGAGCAGGTGACGAAATCAAGAAAAACCTTCCCAGTGGCCACAAGATTTACACTGAGGTTACACCATGGGCTCAGGTGGTGTCACCCATCCAAGTGCCCATCGCTGCGTCAGCGCCCAGCTTTTGTGGTTTTACCTTGGGGAGCAGGGAACGGCTTTGGTAAAGTCTTTGATCGAGGAAATGGGAGCTTTTGTCACGGCTCCCACAGCAGGACAACTGCAGCACCCAAACACTGCATCTGTGAAGATCGAGAATCACTTGAATATTAATGAGGAGGGAGATAAAATGGATAATTATCACTAAAAGTCATCGATTTGCAGCCGCTCAGGACTTGTGAAGATCTGATTTATCTTACAGCGTGCTTTGGCCTAGATCTATCACTTGCGCAGCTGAGGAGCTGGGGAACCCCCACCTTTTCCAAATGCTTTGCTGGTGTTTGGGTATTTCAGGCTGTCAGACTGAAAGCAAACAGAACTGGCAGCGGAACAGGGGCTCTGATGGGGCTCAGTTTTCTCCTGTGTTCGTCCTAGGCTCAGATCCCCCAGTCCAGCCCAGCAACCCCTGCTCCTGTATGGCCTTGTGCTGGGAAGATCCAGCATTGAAGTTCTGGCCTTCAGGGTATTTTTCTGGGAATTTCATTTGCAGACAGGTATTTATGTGATAAATTTCAATATTTCAATACTTTTTGAAATACAGGGGGAACTAGAGAAGAGTTAAAAATTACTGTAGGACTCAATAACAGAGCTCCTATAAGCAGCAATCTTTTGCCAATTTTCTTCTCCAGAAGGACACCAATGGTTATACTTTAACCCAGCTTCTCATTTCTTTCTCCTACACAATAAAAAGCCACTTTTACAGATTCTCCTCTTTTATCTTTGGCCAGCTCAGCCGTTACCTGCCCACAGACCTGCTTGGAGTGCAAGAATTTATAAAACACGTCGGGGTTCTCAGGCGGCGGCAGCGGTGCATGCAAATCATCCCAACACCATTACCCTCTGTTCAAACACCGAGCTGGCTCCAATTTGTTCTGCTTCTAACTTTCTTCCCCTCCTTAATAATCTTTCTAGGAGCACAGAGCAGCAGCAATTCTCCTTCCCTCTGCGCAGGGGAGCTGCAGGAGCATCCTGGCTGAGCCTGTGCACTCAGCCACTGGCTGCGCTTCGCAGAGCCGGGGTCTCATTAGCGATTGCCCGCTCCTCCTGCAATTTCCCTGCTAATTAGGGCGTCCACCCGCTGCAGGGGGAGCCCTGCGGGCCCCTCCGAGGCTCTGTGCCCGCTGGCAGCGCAGCGCGGAGCAGCAGTGGGCTCTGGCGGCGGCTGCGCGCCCTGCAGGCAGCGCACGGTGTCCTTGTCCCTCCCCACCCCGGCCCCTTCTGTGTCCCCTGTCCCCAGCCCCTGAGTTGGGATGGGCTCAATTTGGGCCCCCCTGGGGCGAGGCTGCAGGGAGAGGTGGTGAAGGCTGCTCCAGGAGGGATGTGAGGAGTTGGGATCCCGAGCGAGCCAGCCCGAAGCGGACCCCATGGGAACGGGAGGCTCGGGCAGGTGGCGTGTGGCCGTCCCTTGCCAGTCTCCTTCTGCTTTTAGGGGGAAGGTGGGCACGTGGAAGGGCAGAGCCCCCCGATGGCTGCCCAGCTCCCATGGGGTGCGAGGGGAATCGCCTCCTTCTCCCAGGAAAGGTCCCCAGGAGCAGCCATGCATTTCTTTGCCCTGTCCTTGCAGCCGTGCTGCATGCACAATGCCCAGGGTTTGGAGCCAGCGTCCCACCTTGAGGTGTGCCCCATCTCTGTGGCCTCCCTGTCCTCAGGCATTTTCCCCCACAGCAGAGCAGAGAGAACAAGTCCTGCTCCCCCCTGGATAAGATGAAGCCCCGAGCATCCTAACGAGGCCGAATCTGGGGACCTCTTTAGCTGTGTTCATTATGAGCTCTCCTTTGATTGATGTTATTTCTAAACTCCTCTCTTCTGATGTCATTTTTCACTCTGATGGGACATTTTCTTTTCCATTTTAATTTCCTCTTCCTTATGAGAAAAACGACTCATGTGTCTGACCCCGGGCTTTTACCTGCCTCCCTCCCACCACGCCGGAGCGGGGCAGACCCCTCCTGCGGGCTGTGCATGACCGCAGGTGCCTACAGCCAGGGAGCTGGGGAAAACCAGCTCCTGAGCTCTTTCCTGGTGATCTGGTGAAACTGGACCTGCTGGCTGGTTTCTGCACGTCAGAAACATGCTGGGCTGGTGGCTGCCCGGAGGAGGCTTTATCCTGGGGCGAGATACCTGGGCAGGAATTAACGAGATGATATCCAGCACCTCGTGACAGCCTCCGTGCACCACGTACAGCGTGTGGCCCGCAGCCACCGCCACCCCAGCCCCAAACAGCAAATATTTGGAAGCTGCCGTGGAGTCTGAATGAACGTGGTCAGGCTGGGCTCTGCCACGTGCTGTGGGTGAAGTTCTGGGGGGTCGGGGTCCCCCCGGGGTCCCCATGGCTGTTTGCTGAGCCTGGAGAGCTCAGAGGGGGAAGCTGTGGAGGAGCTGGGTTTTTGCACCAGTAAATGGCGTTGGTGCCTGCTTTGGGCACCTCCAGCATTGTGCAGTAACTGAACGCAGCCGGTGCTGTTTGTGGGCTCTGAATGGAAGGCTGTAGGGCAGCCAGGCTCCCAGGGGAGAAGGCTGGAGCCTGGAGACACAAAGCAGGCTGCGGAGGTTTCGGAGCACCTGCAAGCTGGGAACCTGCCTGCGTGTGGACAGGAAGGAAAAGTGGGAGGAAAACTTCCATTGTTAGCACCAATTCTTATTTCACTGGCGGTGCTCCCGGCACGTCTCGGCTCATCCCCCCATTTTCTTCCCTGTTTTTGTTTGCGTTCCTTTGCTTGCCTTCCTCCAAGGCACGGCCAGCGCGGTTTGCAGCCCAGCAATGCTTTGGCAGCGTCCTGCAGCCCCACCTCTGCTGATGTCCCCACGGGCCAGGGTCACGGCAGGGGCTTGTTCCTGAGGCCATGGAGGTCCTGAAGCCCCCAGCAGGAAGCTGCCCCCTCCCTGCCGCCCACCCAAAGCCACGTGGGGGCCGCGGGACGTCCGCTCCTCCCGTGCCCGAGAGCATCCCTGTGGCAGAGCCCGTGGCTTTGCCTCCTTTAGCCGAGGAGGAAGCCACTGCACAAAGAAGGGAAATGACCCGGCGAAGGTCACCTGCAGCTGGGGCCGAGCCCAGGACCAGCATCGTGAGGTCCCGGTGCCACGGCTGAGCTGTGCCAGAGCGGGACGGGTGTGGGTTTTGTGTGTGAGTGGCACTGAGTGTCACCGAGTGCCCAGGGGAAAACGGAGCAGGGTTGAACTCAGAAGCCACAGGCTGAAAAACGCAGCATGGGCACATCGCCCTTGGAACCAACTGCAAAAGGCAGTGTGAGGACTGGGGGTGGCAGGCTGGATTTGGAAAAAAATAAAACAAATCAGGGAAAGCCAGAAACCTGATGGCGTGGGGAAGAAGCTTTTAGGGTGATGCAAGAGCAGAAGACCGTCATCACCTCTGGTCCTTGCAAGGAGCTTCCTGAAGCTCGCGGGTGGGTTTGGCTGGCTGTAACGCACCGCGTGCTTTGCAGGTGACCGCAGCGGTGGTCCCTGCAGGCTGGGAGCAAAGCACATCCCCACACCTCGCCGTGCTGCCCCCCGAGCCCCCACCCCACCAGCATTGTGCCGACCCGGGCCTCCCTTTTCCTGTAGGTGGGGTTTCCATAGGAAGCACGGCTGGTCCACCTCCCGCCGCCGGACACCGCTCTCGGGCGGCGGTGGTGGCAGTCCCTCTGCTCCCTGCCGCGGCGTCCCAGCCCGCGATGCTCCGCCGCCCGTCCCGGGGTGATGGCAGGGCAGGGGGCAGCCTCCGGACCTCCGCGCTCTTCTTGCTCCTTCCCAGCTGGTGAGTGGCGTTCGGCAACGGGAGAAGATGCGGCGGCTTCGTGTGTGCCCTGAGGTCCGTTTGGGGATGTGGAGGCAGCCGGGGAAGCCCACGGCTGCCGGCCGGAGCGGCGGGGCCGTGGGCATCGTCAGCGGGCTGCTGCTGCTGGGTCGCTCCGCTCTGCAGCTCCCGGCCTTCTGGTGGTACCTCTTCCTCTCCGCCGATGCTCAGGAGGTGGCCACGTTCACGGTGCAATACCGGCTGTACGAAGAGGTGCCGGAGGGCACGGTGATAGGGACATTGGCCGAGCACTTCAAGTGGGGTGAGAGCGGTGAAATGGAAGAAAGCTTCCGTCTGCTGCAGAGCCCAGGGGGGTTCCCGCTGCGCGTGGGGACTGCGGATGGTGAGCTGAGCACGGCCGGGCGGGTGGACAGGGAGCAGCTGTGCCGGCACGGCGATCCCTGCTGGGTCTCCTTTGATGTGCTGGCCGCCCGGCAGCTGGCTCTGATCCACGTGGAGGTCCAAGTGCTGGACATCAACGACAACGCGCCCCGCTTCCCCACGCCTGAGCTGGAGCTGGAGATGTCGGAGAGCGCATCGCTGCGGACGCGCATCCCGCTGGACCGAGCCCTGGATGCTGATGCTGGCCCCAACGCACGCTGCTCCTACACGCTGTCCCCCAGCGAGCACTTCGCTCTGGATGTCGTCTCCAGCTCCGATGGCACAAAGCACGCTGAGCTCGTCGTGGTTAAAGAGGTGGACCGGGAGCTGCACTCCTCCTTCGACCTCGTGCTGACGGCTGCTGACCATGGGGAGCCACCACAGTCAGGTACAGCTTTAATTAAAGTCATCGTCCTCGACTCCAACGATAACAGCCCTGTGTTTGCAGAGAGCTCTTTGGCGGTTGAGGTTCGGGAGGATGCTCCGCCCGGGACCCTCCTGGTGACGGTCACGGCCACCGACCCCGACCAGGGTCCCAACGGGGAGATCGAGTACAGCCTCAGCAAGCACGCGCCCCCGGAGGTGCTGAGCGCCTTCGGCATCGACGCCCGCACGGGCAGCGTGGTCCTGAAGCGCCCGCTGGACTACGAGGAGACCCACGCCTACGAGCTGGACGTGCAGGCCAGGGACCTGGGCGCCAACCCCATCCCGGCACACTGCAAGATCCTGGTCCAAGTGCTGGACGTCAACGACAACGCGCCCGACGTCCACGTCACCTGGGCGGCGCAGGCGCCCGTGCTCTCGGAAGCTGTCCCCAAAGACAGCTTCGTGGCCCTGGTGACGGCCAGCGACCCCGACTCGGGGAACAACGGGCGGGTGCACTGCTCCCTGAGCCCCGGGGACGAGCACTTCAGGCTGAAGAGGACCAACAGCCACAGCTACCTGCTGATGACCAGCGCGGCGCTGGACAGGGAGCTGCGCGCCGAGTACAACCTGACGCTGGTGGCGCGGGACCAGGGCGAGCGCTCCTTGGCCGTGCTGAAGCACCTCACCATCTGCATCAGCGACGTCAACGACAACGCCCCCTCCTTCGAGAGGGCCGCCTACGAGAGCACCGTGGAGGAGAACGGCGAAGTGCCAACCTCCTTGCTCACCATCCACGCCACCGACCCCGACCTGGGTTTCAATGGGAAGATCACCTACAGCATCCGGGACGCCTCGGTTTCGGGTCTGGTCTCCATCGACCCCACCACGGGGGAGGTTTTTGCCCTCCAAGCTTTTGATTACGAGCAGATGAGCAGCCTGGAGTTCCTGGTGACCGCAGAGGATGGCGGCCACCCCAGGCTGGCCTCCAACGTCTCTGTCCGGCTGGCTGTGCTTGACCAGAACGACAACGCGCCCGTTGTCACCGAGCCAGCGCTGGTGGGTGGCGTGGCCACGCTGTCCTTCCTGATCGGCACCGAGACGGGGTGTGTCTGGGTGACCCCCGGGAATGGGAGCACCCTGGGGACAGCGGTGGCCAATGCCACGCCGGTGTCGTGCTCCGACACTCCCCTCCTCTTCACCGTGGTGGCCAGGGATGGAGACTCCGGTCCCAACGGGGCTCTGAGGTTTGACCTCGTGGGTGGGGACGGTGCTGGGCTCTTCATGCTGGATCCGCTCTCAGGGCAGCTCTTCCTCAACGCCACCAACGCCACCAGCCTCGCTGGCACCCAGTGGGACCTGGCCATCAGGGTGAGCGACGGCGGGGACGAGCCCCTGCACACCCAGGCACAGGTGCGGCTGCTCTTCCGACGCCACGGGGCTTTCTCCAAAATCTCCGCCTGGGAGCCGGGGCGGCTGAGCCCGCCCGTGGTGGCTGTCATCTGCTTGGCCGCTCTCTTGGGCGGCTGCCTCCTCCTTTTGGCTTTAACCCTGTCCCTGCGCAGCAAGGAGAAGAAGGACGGCATGGCCTACAACTGCAGGGAGGCGGAGGACGCCCGCAGGCAGCA